CAGAGACAATCCAGCACATAACAGCAGGGTGCAAGATGCTAGCAGGCAATGCATACATGGAACGCCATAACCAAGTGGCCGGCATAGTGTACAGGAACATCTGTGCCGAGTATAACCTGGAAGTCCCGAGGTCAAAATGGGAGATGCCCCCAAGGGTGGTGGAGAATGACCGAGCTAAGATCCTGTGGGACTTCCAGATACAGACGGACAAAATGGTGATGGCTAACCAACCGGACATAGTGGTGGTAGACAAAGAGAAGAAGACGGCCGTAGTGATCGATGTAGCAGTTCCGAATGACAGCAATATCAGGAAGAAGGAACACGAGAAGCTGGAGAAATACCAAGGGCTCAGAGAAGAGCTCGAGAGGATGTGGAGGGTGAAGGTAACGGTGGTCCCCGTGGTAATCGGAGCACTAGGTGCGGTGACTCCCAAACTAGGCGAGTGGCTCCAGCAGATCCCGGGAATAACATCGGAGATCTCTGTCCAGATGAGCGCAGTCCTGGGAACAGCTAAGATACTGCGCAGAACCCTCAAGCTCCCAGGCCTCTGGTAGAGGACCCGAGATTGATTGATAGATTGATAGATTGAGAGTGTGTGTGTGTGTATGCATTAAAAAAGGCAGAAACAAGCTTCCATATATTTTTTTTTAACCCCTGTATCAAATATATTACTGAAATGAATCTGTCACTCCCCTTTCCTCTGTCAGTAACAAGTCATATTATGAATTGGTTGTAAAAGTACACAATTAAGGTTTCTTAGATTCCTCAGGTTTATTAGAGATTATTTTAAACTAGTCTGTGTCACAAAAACGGTCATATTTCAAACTTTATTCACAGTTTTAGCAGCTCTCCTCTGCGATGTATTCTGGGATATTTGGCTGCACAAAGTCCACACAAGTCACCACCAATGCACGCTCAATAGAATGGGAGGAGCGAGAACAAATCCAGGCTGTCAATGCACATATTTATTTACACATACTATAAATTTCAATAAGGAAGTATATTTCAATAAGGAACGTAAAACAGCGTTGCAACCAGCATGTTTTAAAGCTAACAGAGGCGTTAAGAAAGCCATTACCAAAACATTACTTTTCTCATGATTTTCCTCCCTCTGAAAGCAAGGGTTAATAAAGTTAAGAATGACTCAGTCTGTACTCATGTGGATTGAAGCCAGACTTATGTGATCGGAAAGACTTATATTTGTGTCCCTATGAAGTCATTTTAAAATGCTACAATTACCTTGTGGATTTTAACGGTCTGCCCATATCTCATACTACGCATCGCCTCCAGTGTTGCCAACTTCTCAGTAAGGAAAATCGCTATTGGCTATCCGAAAAGTCGCTAGAAGTCGCCAAATGACGTCATCGCCTAATTTGCATAATTGGTCATGCTAATGTAATTGTAACTTACGTTGTTGGAGTCAAGTCAAGTTTATTTATAGAGCACATTTAAAAACAACCAAGGCTGACCAAAGTGCTGTACAGTAAATACAGATAAAAATACAATAGAACACAATTTCGTAGTAACACCTCGCTGAAAAAAAATAAAATAAAAATAAAACAAATAAATTAAACCTTTCTAAAAGCCAATGAAAAGAGGTGAGTTTTAAGAGCGGTTTTAAAAGTTTCTAGGCTTTTGGAGAGTCTGACGTGAGGAGGTAAGCTGTTCCACAGTCTGGGTGCAGCCACAGCAAACGCCCTCTCTCCCTTTGTCTTTAATTTATACCTGGGAACATCTAAAAGCATCAGGTCAGCTGACCTCAAAGATCTCCTGGGGCGATAAGTACTAAGGAGTTCTGACAGGTAAGAAGGTGCAGTGCCATTTAAAACCTTAAAAGCCAGCAGTAAGATTTTAAAATCAATCCTAAAGGCAACTGGGAGCCAGTGGAGAGAGCAGAGAACCGGAGTGATGTGGTCTCTTTTTTTTGAACCGGTCAACAGGCGAGCGGCAGCATTCTGCACCAGTTGAAGGTGATGTAGACAGGAACGATCTAGGCCAGCATAGAGGGAATTGCAGTAGTCTAGCCGTGAAGTAATAAAAGCATGGACCACTCTTTCTAGATCGTTCCTGCAAAGGTAAGACTTGACTTTGGTTAAAATCCGCAAATGATAAAAAGATCCCTTAACTACAGAGCTGATTTGTTTATCAAGTTTAAAAGCATTGTCAAAAATAACACCAAGACTCTTAATGGAAGAAGTGCAATCGGAGGTTAGGGGTCCCAAAAAGTCAAGAGAGAAGTTGGGATCTTTAGGAAGCCCAAACACAATGACTTCAGTTTTGCTTTCATTAAGGTGTAAGAAGTTAAGAGTCATCCAAGTCTTAATGTCAGACAAGCAGGAGAGTAGCGGCTGCAAAGAAACATTGCAGTTCAACCTCAGAGGGAGGTAGATCTGAATATCATCGGCAAAGATGTGGAAGGACACATTATGTTTACGGAGCACATCGCCCAGAGGGAGCAAGTACAGAATAAACAACAGGGGGCCTAGTATGGACCCCTGAGGTACGCCACAGGTTAAAGGAGCTCTGGGAGATGACAGTTCACCAAGGTGAACAGAAAAACTCCTATTATTCAAATAGGACTGGAAAAACTTTAAGACAGTGCCCTTTAAACCGACACAATGTTGAAGGCGGGATAGCAGTATGTTGTGATCAACAGTGTCGAAGGCTGCTGTCAGGTCCAGGGTTACTAAGACAGCAGCACAACCAGAGTCAACAGTTAAAAGCAAATCATTAAAAACTCTCAGTAGGGCGGTTTCTGTGCTATGCCGAGCTCTAAAACCAGACTGGAACTTCTCATAGAGATTGTTATTGTCGAGAAATAGCTGGAGCTGCGTAAGGGCGGCTCGTTCCAGTACTTTAGACAGAAAAGGGAGGTTGGAAATGGGCCTATAGTTAGAGAGTAGGGATGGATCTAGATTAGACTTTTTAAGGAGAGGTTGAACAACAGCGTGCTTGAAGGGTGTTGGAAAACAACCAGAACTGAGGCAGGCATTGATCAGGACCAGAAGGAAAGGTCCGACTGAGTCCAGAACCTGCTTCAGAAGCCGAGAGGGGATAGCATCGGTGGAACAGTTGGTAGTCTTAACCTTGCAGACTATTTCATGCAGCTGAGAGAGAGAGATTGGTTCGAACTGATTAAAGGCAGAATGGCACAAAGACAAAACACAGGGATTGGAAGGTGAAGATGGAATGACAGACTGCAGGGAGGAAATCTTGTTTACAAAGAACTTTAGAAAGTCATTACAGAGGGTGGCAGAAGGTGTGAGGCTGGTGGAGGATTTACAATGGAATTTAAAACACGAAACAGAGTCTGAGGTTTATAGACACTACTGCTAACCAGGTTTGATATGTAGGAGGACTTGGCCTCTTTAACGGCTTTCTGATAGGTTGAAAGAGAGTCTCTGAGGATATTAAAAGAAATGTGCAGCTTGTCCTTTTTCCATTTTCTCTCAGCACACCTACAGGTGCGCCTGAGAGCACGAACAGAGTCTGTAATCCAGGGTTCAGCATGAGCTTTGGGACGGAGTGTTTTTAAGGGAGCGATGAGGTCCAAAATAGAAGTACATGTTGAGTTAAAAAGAGCAGTTAAATCTTCTGCACATAAGGAACCAATCCAGTCCGCCGTGGAGAGCTCAGAGTTGCTAAAAGCAGCAGAAAACTGAGATGGTACATGGGTATTGATGATCCGGTGACGGCGTGAAGGAGGTTTAACTGCAGCATCAGAACAATGTGCAGTGGCAGAAAATAGAACAGGAAAATGATCGGAGATACACGCACTCTCACAAATTTCAGAGATGTGGATACCCAAGCCGTGAGACATGACAAGGTCCAAAGTGTGACCCTTCTCATGTGTGGAGCCAGACACACACTGAGTAAGGTTGAAGGAATCCAACAGTGAAACAAAGTCTCTAACCAGGGGTTTAGATGGACAGCACACATGAATATTCAGGTCACCAACAATAAGAAAATGATCAACATCTACTGAAAGTCCTGAAAGGAATTCCCCAAACTCACTGATAAAGTCCTTGTTAAATTTGGGAGGACGATATACCACTGCAATCAGTAACGGAGTGGATGAGTTTAGTTTAAAAAGCTGTAGTTCAAAGCTGGAATAAGAGGAAAAAGAAATCTGATGGCAGTCATAAACAGATTTAAAAACACAGAGAAAAATAACATCGTGGAAGAGACATAAAGTGAGTAAAAACGTCCTAAATGCAGTTAGAATGTATTTAGAACTACAAATTAAATTTATTTTAGCAATTATTGTTTTTTGTAATGTCACAATTCCAACCCTGCTCGTTTATCCGGGCCTGGACCGGCAAAAGTGACCCGAAACTGGCACTCTGGTGGAGTTACTTTGTGTGTGAGAGTGTGTGTTTATAAGTAGTTTTAAACCTTGTGATCCACAAAACAGCATAACAGTAAAGGAAGAACTGACTGCGTTACAGTCAGTGCGAGAGCAGCGGCTTCGCCCATGCGCGATTCATTTGCCGTTTGGACGCACAGGTGTGAACGTCTCCTGCCCTGATAGCAGCTGGGGGAGGACTATCCTCCACCTGTGAGCATTTGGCACGGGTGAGGCAGCACCGCTGCTTGTTGAGAGTAAGAGCGATACGCATTTTCACGTTAAAAATTCGTCATAAATAAGTCTCCAATAATAGCAGAAAAAGTCGCCAGATTTGTCGCTAGTCGCTTTTTAGAAAAAAAAAGTCGCTAAGGGGGTCTGAAAACTCGCTAAATATAGCGACAAAGTCGCTAAGTTGGCAACACTGATCGCCTCCGGCTGCAGGTCATTGATTGGATAAAGTGGATGGAGATTCGCTCCAAGCCGGGTGTGTACGTGAAAAAAATCGCCCTATGCACACAAAAAACACCGACATGGAACTGCAAGGTGGCACAATTACATTAGCGGTAGATAGTATGCACTAAAAGCTACAACTTCAATGGATTATCCAGCAAAAAAAAAACTACTCATAAACAAAGAGCACATCACAACTTACCGACAGCAGTGACGCAGCAGAGTGAGGGAGGAAGCTCGGGGAGAATAAACAGTAGGCGTGCAGCAGCGGGTTTTATTCCTTCCAGACAAGGGCGTAGATTTGGCATGGACGGAAGGGACGTGTCCCCACCAATAATTTGATCTATTCGAGTAAAGAAAAACAAACCCGATAGAAAGAAAAAACGATGTGTCAACGTCTCATTCACCCAGCGGAGCAGAAAGAGTTCAATTACGTTCTCTACTGGAGTCCTACGTCATGTGACAAATATGGACAATGTGATTGGCTGTGCCTTTCAGGGAGCTCTGTTTAGTTTTAGCAGCGGCAAGCCTGCGCTGCGAGGAGGAGAGGAGGACGGCAGCAAAGAGGAAGAACTTGGATATAAGAAAGTGTTTTTCAAAGAAACCTGTAAGTCACTTAAACTCAAGTTCACTCATAAAATGTGTCCGTCATAATAACGTTACAGGCTATGCTAGGCTTTGGCCCACATCAGTCTAAAACTGTATGTACCCATTAATAACGTGTTTTGGAAACTAACTGCACAACAGGCAGCACTATTAGTTCTCTCAGTCTCAGAGCAGCATTTCTAATTTTGATTAAAACTGTCAGAGAAAACGGCAGCCTCGAGCAAGCCAGGATATTACAGAGGCTGTTAAAATGATATGTCTAACGTTAAAATGTTGGTGACACAATAATTTCATCCTAATGGTACTGACATATTCATAGGGTTAAGGTAGGTAGTCATGATTTTACAAATATTCCACCTTGGAGTGCAGTTTGCACAAATTGTTTTAAAAATGCACTCACCCTACAAACATTACTGATGAGTCAAGATCTGCACAAAGTGACAGAAACACTGAAGCAGCTCCACATTTTATTCTTATTGTCATGTACGTCCTATTTGTCAGGTGACAGAAGAACCAACACAAACCTCAGAGAGTAATGGTGACACAAGATCACAGGTGAAATTGGATGATGACTTGGTGGTTCATGACTGTATTTGAAGCACATGTGTGACTGCATGTATGTGGAATGGCTCACTGTTATTCATCAGGTGACAGAGGCAGCTCTGCCATGTTGTAGCTCGGACAGAGGTGATGATGATTTGGTGCTATAGATTAACTAGTATTTATTATCATGACAATTGTTAGGCTGCTGATGTAAATTGTTTCATTAGTGTATATTTGACAAAGAATCTGAATTGACATGTCTCACTTTTTATATGGCACGAATCCATGTGTTATTTTATCAGGTGGCAAAATGTCCTAGTGCAGTCAGAGGGGAAGAGCCAGGGCCAAAGGTGAGGCACATCAAGCACATAATAATAATTGTAATCTGAGGATAAAACGCAGGTACTGAGGCTGAAGGAAGCTTCAGTGCTCTCACAAGACTAAAAACATGGCTAAGGTCCACCAGGAGACACTGGACAGTATAGATGTAAAACAAACATGCCAGCAGTTTATCTCAGTTAACGAGAGGAGAAGGCATGTGTTTGGCTGCTTCACATAGTGGACATTGAGTTGTTGTGTGGGTCACCAGTAGTCCATGTCTGTTGCTGTAACAGTAGTTCATGTTGAGAATAAAAAAATCCCAGCTCACTGATCTGATCGGGGCAATAGTGCCTAAAATGTTGCATAATTTTGCTGAGAGATATTTTACTTTGTGGTAATCTTAGATGAGTAGTTTTATGGACAAAAACCACCAGGTCATTCAGTGTTCCCTTAGTGCCAAAATATAAGAGATGTTGGTGTACTATATCTGAAGTAATGTTGTTAAATCTTTAAAGTCATATTCTTTTATTGTCATTACTCTATTTTTATATGGAATATGACTGAAGTAAACTAAAGCCTAAAATACTTAGTCAGTCATTTGTTTAATAGTAATTTAACATTATATAATTCACATATAAAACTATGAATTGTAATTTTAAATGGTTTAGAAACATGTAGAATAGCATATGTAGGCCAGTATTTTTCTCCTTTTATCAAGCAGCAAAGACAAAAAGGGAAAAAAGAGGAAACAGGGCAGAGTTCGGTCCCCACCAACGCCAAAACCAAATCTACGCCCTTGCTTCCAGACTTTATTTAACCACTGTCATGCATTGTTTTTTAGATTTCAAAGAAGACTCCGTGTAGCTATTCATTTTCCATGTATTTGATTGAAATGACAAACTGCTCTAAAATGATTAAAGAGCGTCATTTTGATCTGTGAATGTGAAAGTTAAGAGTCTGTTAATAGGTGCAGATCTCTGGAGGGGAGGCAGGGGAGTTTCCAGTCCACATTTCCAGAATGTGGACAATAAGGCACAGTTGAGAAATCTGATTATTTAATAGTATTAAATATAGAGTAAATAGAAACATTGGGTATGACTTTTCAGGCCAACGTGCCAAAACAGGCATTTCTGATGTCTTTTTGTACTACACTTTTCCTTCTCTTTCTTTCTAAATTCTTTAAGAAACTCTTCAGTCATTTTACACTTTACAATTTGTTCTGAATAACCTATATTTTCTTCCTTTGAAGGGTAATTCTTAGAACACTCAAGTTTTCTTATAAGTTGGTGACTAAGAGCAATTCTTAGAATCTGAAAGCTTTGTAAATGTAAACATGTGGCCAGTTTTCTGTGAGTAGTGGTTGTTTTAACAGTCATTGTAATCACCCCCTGCTTCAAATGTGATATAATGTTTTTTTTCCTCCAGAAACAAGAAAGCAAGAGAGAATATACTTTCTAAACAAATTCAAATAATTCTTACATGATTAAGTTAACAAAACACAAGTTCAGAAAATACAAATCAAGAAATAACGTGTAGTCACAAAGGTGATCTCTGTGCAGAGAAGAAAAAGGACAGCAGTGATGAAGACCAAAGAAAACTGGAAACTAAAACACACTTGTTAACAGGTGTCCCTTAATGACTTCTGTCTATTTTAGTTTAATGAACTCTGCAGTGTCATTGTCATAATAAAAAAAACCCAAGTCCAGCATAGAGCCGCTGAGTGAATGTGGTCTGGACTTTGTGGAGGAGAGTCATGGTTTCAGAGACTCTGTAGAAAGACAGTGAAAAACACATGAGAATTTCAAAGCTGTTCTTTAACACTCCGACACTGGTCTCTCAATCTCCCATTGGAGAGGTTTTGATTTTCTTGTGCCAAAATGTATAACACGTTGACTCGAAAGCAACTTTCATGTCACAACGTAATGCCCAAGATTTATCATTCCATCCAAAGCCACATTCATCTGACCTCCCGACTCTGCTGATATTCTTGTATGCGACTACTACAGGAATTCCTATCCCACACCACTTCACTTCCAAGTAACAACGTCCAGTCAGACTCTCTCTACTCAGGACCTGTCTAAACACTGTCCGGATTACTAGTGTAAGACTCTTGATCGTAATATACCATAGCTTCTCGATTTCCTTAAGATAATTAAAGCTGTCTGTATGCTGTGTTTGGATCCAGTGTGATTTTTAAGAATCCAACTCTGGTCTTTGCCTCTGGTGGTGACAGTAGTTGTGTAGAAACTGGTTGTGATCCTCTGTGTGTGAGAGCTGCTCCAGCTCGCCGTCTTTCCTCTTCAGCTCAGCGATCTCCTGCTCCAGCTTCTCCTGAAGCTCTTTGACTCACTTCAGTTTCCTGCTGGGATCTGACCTGCTGCTTCACATCAGAGCTTCTTTTCTGGAGGAGACGGATCAGCTCAGTGAACATCTTCTCACTGTCCTCCACTGCTTTATCAGCAGAGCCATTGATGGCCTCCACCTCCTGTTGAAGCAGCTTCACATCTTTCTCTCGCTCCTGGATTCTCTGCTGGATGTTTAGTCGTCTCACCTTGAGCTCCTTCTGCTTCTCAGTCCTTTCTGCTGCAGCTGGGACTGTTTCATGGCCTTTATGTTCATCCATCGTGCAGAGATAACAGATATTCTGCTGATCAGTACGACAGAAAATCTTCATCACCTCATCATGACGAGAGCAGATGTTCTCCTGGAGCTTCTTGGAGGGGGCCACCAGCTTGTGTTTCTTTAATGGAGCTGCATCATAGTGAGGTTGGAAATGTTTCTCACAGTAAGAGGCTGGACAAGATAAACAGAATTTGATGGCTTTCAGCTTCATCTCATTACTAAACCAGTGATCTGTAATGGAAAATTTCCATTTTTCTTGTTTAAGGTGTTAAATACTTATGCAAATGAAACACTGAAACACTGTAATAGACTGTTCAGTGGAAGTTTCTAAAACTAGATGAACTTATTTAAGCCTCAGTAGTTGAAGAAAACAACTCCCTCTGCAGCTGCTGATAACGCCAAAGGCATGAAACAGCATACCCATTGTTCCATTAGGTTTCATAGCGAGCCGCGTGACGTGTGTTATGATCAGCTTATGACTTCCTTCCCTCTTCTTTGGAATGCATAAAGGAGTGGAAGCTCCACTTCTGTTTTAGAGCTCTCCTGATTGTATAACTGTTTGATGTCTGTGTTTGCTCTCCTGCATGCAGTAATTTCAGTAGCTTGGCCACAGCTGATTGCGTTGCAGACTTTATTAACAGAAAATTCCAGCACAGATGAAATTTTAGTTAATGCTTCAGAGCAGGGAGCAGAAAAACATCTACTATCACACAACATTGTGTTTAACTTAGACATGAAAACATAACAGTCTTAATCATTTGAATACATTTCACTGAAAGCACAACTTATAAACACTGTTCTCACTGCTGTATTAAAAGATTCTCCTCATCTATAATGATCAGGTTTAATTAAATATGAATTAACGGAGCAAAAAAAATATTAAAATTGTTACAAACTAGTCTGTGTATTCAAAGCAGTGGTAAGAAACCTTAAATCTGTGGTATGCATTTCCCACACTCAGTGAAATGGCAACTCAGTTGTTTTTATAATCTTATTATCTTAAAAATGTATACAGCATTTTATTCTGTACACTTCAAGTATTAATTTGCCTCACATACACCTAACATGCATGTCTTTGGACTGATTAACATGGAAGAAACATCGTAACTCCACACAGAAAGGCCTCAGCCAGGATTTAAATCAGGAACTTTCCCACCACCCTATTACAAATCTCAGGTTTGTGCCAAAAACCATCTCTCAAGGTACACTCTGGGCTCGGATCCTTATATGCACCATATATGACCCCTCCTATATATTTTTTTACTATTACACAGTTTGCAGAATCCTGGGGCAAATTCCAACAACCAGCAGGTGGCTGTCTCTGAGTAACCTGTGCAAATGTGGTGGGGAAAAAAGACAGTTCCCATGACAATGTCAAGGTCCCCTCTGAAGTCTGTTACCCCTCTCACTTTAAAAAAAAATCAAAGGCTGGAGCTTCTTTCTAATTGATGTTTTGATTTATATCGTTTTTCTTTCTTTGTCCTTGTCTCTTAAAATCCCTGAATATTTTCTAGAAACAAAAAAAAAGACTAAAATGGCTGAAAGTAGTACAGATGAGTGCCACGTGAGATCTATATCTGCAGGGGGGAAAGGTGTCATCTTTTTTTATATATACAATAAGTTGTCAATCAGCTTTAAAAGCCTCAACTGAAGTATTACATTTATAAAGAAGATGTCACTGCCACCTGCTGGAGAGAAAACAAACAAACAAACAAACAAACATGCTTGCACAAGTCAAGATGAACCCCACAAACTGTATTCTGGTGTGAGCTGCACACCTGTCCCCTGTCTGCACACAGCAGTATTCACTGTGGAAGCCAGTCCACTTTGTAACACTGGGTAGGTCTTTTGAAACATTATCTGAACTAGCTTTCATTTGAGACATTAGAGCTTAAAACCGCATGTTTATATAAACCTATCATGTCTATCGATACACCTGCTTTTCCAGACGAGCCACAATGCCGGCAGATTACCTCGTGTCACAGATTAACTGGTGACGGTCAAACAGATGTGTGGTAGACTTGCCTTTAAACTGACATCATGCAGTTCATCTTCTCACCCGCAGAGGGCCACAAATCACCATCAATGAACAGTTCTAGGAGATTTTAGTGTAGATGCTCCATGACTTAATAAGGCATTCTGTTTTAAGGGGTTAGAGAGAAAATAAAAGAAAAAACCATGCAAATCTGCATTTGCTCTCATTTTAAGAGCTTCTGTCTTTTCCTATTTCAGAACCAATGAGCATACTTGGAGAGGTTGGTAAAAAATAAAAAATCACAAGAAAGAGAAATCAAACATTTGGATTCTCTACTGGCTCTGCTATGATTTGGCAGTCAGCTAAACTCCTTCCTTACATTAAGACTGATGACACGATTCCAAATGTTCACAGGTTTATTGACACAGGGGAAGGTGAAACTGCACCATACAGTACAAGGCATAATCACTTTTACATATTCACCATGTACAGATAAAACGATGAAAATATATTAACTACTTTTTATTACAAGTCAGCATATCCTCCTAAAATATACTGAGAGTGGCGTGTAATATTGTCAACCCCAAACAACAGACTGAACATTGGTTTCACCCTGGAAACATCCTTTAAATGTAAACCCAACAATGTATACAGTGGTCCCTTGCTATAACGTGGTTCAACTTCGGCGGCCTTGCTGTTTTGCGGATTTTTTTGTGTGCAATTTTGAGCCCATTCTCACTCCTGAGGCGTAACATCCCGACGCATGTGTAGATTGACTCCAAACGGTTCTCATATGTCCTCAGTTTCCAATTTCATCATGTAGGAACGTGTTGGGTGCCCGAAAACATAATATGTTGACGATTTGTCACCTAGCGTAAAATGTTTGTTTGTTTTTTACAACGCATTGTGTTCTGTGTCCTGATCAGCTGTAGACCATTGTCAATCTCCTCCATGCCGTCTCTCCTGTACAGTACAGAATCGCTACATTGATAGCTTGCAGTGTATGTCTAAATTTCTGTACTTTTCTCCCCAACACGTTTTGCACCATCAAAGGCACCTGCAGTAGCACCCACAAGGCAGAGGAAGATAGCTATCGCACAAAATCTTGAACTTCTGATTCATTGATTTATTAATGATTAATTGATGTTGAATTCTCTCGCAGGTGCTCTATTCCCATGTTCTGGACCAGAAAAGAGGGTTTGGTTTTTGGTTTCATTTTATAATACTGGACTTATTTTTCTACAAAGGTTTGAACTTTGAGAGTGTCTAAACAAGAGAGAAAAGTGAAAATGTTCGTGCCTGTGTGAGAAAAGTGAATAAAGTGTGTAGTGATGGGTTTTACAGCCTTAAAACATCTATAATAATATAATAACTACTTTGCAGACTTCAACTATTGCGGGTTATTTTTAGAACATAACACCCACAATAAACGAAGGACCACTGTACATTACAATCTGATTTATTAAAAATAAAGTATTCTTAATGTATTTATTATAACTTAAAACCATGAAATTACCTTAAAACTGCATAACCGCTGATGACAGCAGCCACAAAAGGCATAAGATGTAAGTGGATGTTGCTGGATTTAACTAGCTGAGCACAGCCCGTCTCCTCAAATTCACTGGCTAACATCCTGTTTGCTAATGACATCAGTTCCTATCACAGACTATAGTGATTTTAAGGTGGCTCACGTGAGTTACCATTTCATATTTAATATCTAAGAAATATAAAATAACATTCTACCTTAAACTGAATTCATTTTTGATATCACAGCAGATTATTTTTAATGAGTTCATGTTTGTTGAAAATGCAGAGGAGCTGGTAGTGAACTGAGCTTCAGAGAAACACAACATACTGATATTCAGTGTGAAGCTTTGAGTGGAAAAAGAAAAACAACAGAAAAACATGTGGATCCTGGAATAATCAAAGCTTCCATCTTTATCCATGAATCTGAAAACGTGTTTCTGAGTGAAACAGACAGACATGTACAGACTATCTGTTCAACAGTCAAAGTGTTTCTCTAAAGAGGCACGAGTACACTCTTTAGATTATTCTCTGCAAACAAACACTGAGGAACCAGGAAACCACACTCTAAATCCAGGACAAAGAGGTTCTGTGAATGTGGTGTTGAAGGTATGGAGGTGGATCAGGGTGTCAGAGGAGACTCTGTAGAAGGACAGAGTGCCAGCAGGACAGTCCACATACACTGCTACTCTGTTAGAGACTGAGGAGGAGGAGAAGGAGGAGGATGATATGGAGGTTTCTCTGTTATTGTGACAGACAGAGTAACCATCATCGGAGCAGCTGAGACTCCAGGATTGATCATTCCACCCAAATGAACAGTTATCACTGCCACTTTTCCTTCGGATTTTTCTATAAGTCACTGATATGTCAACATCTCCTTTCCACTCAACCTCCCAGTAACAGCGGCCAGTCAGGCCATTTCTACACAGCAGCTGAGGATGAACATCAAATCTGTCTGGATGATCAGGATATAAATGAACCTCCTCCACATGTGTCACCTTTCTTTTGTTGTCAGACAGTTTGAGGTTTGTGTGTACTGTGTTTGTATCTATTGTGAGTTGACAGGAATCTGATGGAGAGAACAAACACAATCCAGTTGCAGTTATTGTTATCATCTGTTGATTGATTGACACTATGATGACTTCTGACATCAGAGAGGTGAATGAGTGATGTGACAGTTTGAAGATGGTTGAATGTGTGCTGCTTTGTTTTCATGAATCACATTAAAAATGCACTTACACTTCCTCAGACCTGGTCTCAACCATCGGACACCAGCAGGCTCCACCCTGAAAGGAGGAGGGGGATCAGACCAGCACAGTCTCTTTCAGCATGCACATGAGGACATTACATCATCATACACTGATACTGCTAGACAGTGATAAAGGAACAGTCCAACATTTTCAGAAATATGTGGCTATCTGTGAATCAGTATCTTTCAAATGCCACTCCCCTCCCCCAAACAAAACAAAACAAAACAAAACAAAACAAAGAGAGTTGTTGATTCTCACCAAGCAGAAGGTCCATATACACAATCACCAGTGTTTCCAAGTCCCAAGCATAAGTATTAAGAAATTTAAAGAGAGCATACGGGGCATATTTAAAGAGAGCCTCCACCAGTGAGTGAATGAATAGTGGCATTGTAAAGCGCTTTGGGTGCCTTGAAAAGTGCTATATAAATCTAATCCATTATTATTATTATTATTAGTATTATTATTATTATTATTATATGGAACAAGCCAGGCAGGGGAACAAAGTGAAAAATGTAAAGACTGTGGGAAGACATATAGTTATAGATATGTCCAAAGATCCCAAAACAACTGCAAAGACACTAGTGAATGACTTAACGTAGTCGTGAATTGTACAGGGTGGGCCATTTATATGGATACACCGTATTAACATGGGAATGGTTGGTGATATTAAAGTCCTGTTTGTGGTACATTATTATCTGTGAGGGGGCAAACTTCTCAAGTGGGTGGTGACCATGGTGGCCATTTAGAAGTCGGCCATCTTGGATGCAACTTTTGTTTTTTCAATAGGAAGAGGGTCATGTGACACATCAAACTTATTGGTAATGTAACGTGAGGGTTCACTAGATGGTTTGGAATCTCTCTGAATAATTAGGAACAGCAAGATGGAGACGGATAACTTTTTAGCAGCCACTTTACTCTCAGCACACCGCAACAACAACCCACACTTCCTGTGTGCCGCCCTCATGAATGCTTCACTGGCCTCTCAGAAGCCAGGAAATCTTATACTCAGATCAAAACAGGGAAAACAACCAGGTAGATATAACACATACTTATTACTGGTTTGAACATGCATGTCTAAACATTCAAACATGTAAACATGTAAATATCAAAACACGTAACCACCAAATAGCTACATAACTAGCTTTATAACCTTTGTAAACACCTCTTTGTATATCAAATTAGATTTAAATTTACTTCTACACTTTACAGTAATGCCACAAGAAAAACAATGGTTTTAATGTCTTCCTCCAGTACCAGACCTTTTCTCCATACCTGAGAGTTTCCAGTTTCCAGGATGGATTCTTCTGTTCAGGCACCAACAGCTTCATTCCCAAGTCTCCTGGATGATTGTAGCTCAGGTCCAACTTTCTCAAGTAGGAGTGGGAAGAACTCAGGGCAGATTCCAGAGAAGCACATCCATCCACTGTGATCAAACAGCCTGACAGACTGCAGGTACATACCAAAAAAGAAGTGTTTTATTTTCTTCCCAGAGAAAGTGAGCTCCATCCCCTCAATTTAATTTACCTACATTTATAAAAATGTCTTAACTTTTTATAGCAGAGATAACACTACAATATAAGAGAAAGAACCACAACTCTCAGATGGTCCCCTGTCAGCAGCAATTGGTCACAGGAAGGAGGAAAAACGTTTTACAACTAGGAAGAGACCGCCAACAAAATCTTGCTCAGGGAGGTTTAACCATCTGCTTTAACATGTAGGTGATGTTGGTGCGAGTGAGGACAAACAGCACATGAGTCCTGTGTCAGATTAGATAAGACTGACTGATAAGGTTCAGTAAATGCTTCAGTAAAAAGATTCAGGTAACTCAGGCGGGAAAAGCAGGGCTCTCCTCACATAGTCCATAACGTATATGGGGCGCTACCAATGTCAACCGAGTTGGGCAGTGGAAGGAAATGTGAGCTATATTCACTGAGCACAGGTAAAATAGCATAATAAATTAAACAAACAAAAAAACATTAAATGGAACAAAATGCATCCAGGATCATTTAAGGATTAAATATTGTTTGGGACTGTGTAAATAAAACTAAATTAAAATTTTCACGATTATAAAACTAGGGCAAAAAATCTTATTTTTATTAAGTTATACAAACAAAATGCAAAAGAAAAAAAAGAGCAGAGCACATCTTGAGCTGACCTGAGAGTTTCAAGTTTGCAGTATGGATTCTCCAGACCATCAGACAGAAGCTTCAATCCCAAATCCTTCACGTTGTTGTTACTCAGGTCCAGCTCTCTCAAACTAGAGAACCGCATGCTAAGAACTGAGGAGAGAGCTTCACAGGCTGTCTCTGCAAGGTTACAGTGACTCAGTCTGCAGATTTATACACAAGAACACAAAGAACACTGATATAAGTCACAGTCACCTCAAGGTGCTTTATGTTGTAAGGTAGACCCTACAATAATACATACAGAGAAAAACCCAACAATCATATGACCCCCCTGAGATAAGAAAGACAAGATAAAAAATTCAGGGTCACCTGATCTAGCCCTAACTATATGATTTAGCAAAAAGGAAAGTTTGAAGCCTAATTTCAAAAGTAGAGATAGTGTCTGTCTCCCAAATCCAAAATAGAAGCTGGTTCCATAGAAGAGGGGATTCAAAACTGAAGGCTCTCCCTCCCATTCTACTTTTGAATACTACAAACCACGGGCAGGAAACATGGCAGGTGCCAGGGCTGTCCCACCAGGAATGATTCTAAGACTAGCATGACCTGGGCACAATGCAAGAAATATGTCTGCAAGGAGCATGCACACACTCTCTTCACATCCTGTGTACAGTAGTGCAGAGAAAAAATTTGGCTGTTGGACAAGAACTGTTCCATGTTCTGACTATGTTCGTATTATTTTCTGTTTTCTGGTTGAATTTCACATGAAATATGTACCACCCCCTCCAAACAAACAGCAAAAACAAACAAAACATAACAAATTAATAAAAAAAACCCTTCAACTCTACCATTGCCAGTCCCAGGCCTGTATAAGAAAAGAGGAGGGGTGATTGAAAGTGATGTCATGGTGCTAGAGCAAAAATTAACAAGATTCATTCTAAAGGGCATGGATGTAAACACCACGAGAAAGAAACAGATCTAGAATTAAACATTTGACCTGATGGTGGTGCTAGAGAAAAGGTCATGTCATCACCAAAGACCAACAGGGTTCATCTACTTGTGGTTATTAATGTTGGCAGTAATTTTGAAAAGTTCTCAATTCAAACTTTTCAAGATACATTTATTCTAAATTAAAAGTTTGACTTCATGGCTTGATGGTGGCACTAGAATTTTATTATCAAGAGAATACTAATGTATTCAATAAATAAACAAAGTGCCTGACGCAAACAATTGGTCAACAATTGTATGTAAACCATTTTGTAGAGGTAAATAACCCCCATGGTAAAACGTGATAGTAATATTTGAGGAGAATAGGAGGGTTAATTGATAAGAAAACGGAATATATATTGATCTGACCGGAGAGTTGTCAGTTTAGAGTATGGAAACTTCACTCTTGAATCCTGCAGGTCGTTGTTACTTAGGTCCAACTCTTTCAGACTAGAGGACTGGGAGTTGAGAATTGAGGAAAGAGCTTCACAGCTTTTCTTTGAGAGGTTACAGCCACTCAGTCTGAAAAATAAAAGATAAACTGAAAACACTGTTGTAGTGCAATGACAGTACACTGAAGTATTATTAGATTTAGCAATTTTTTAAGCAGTCTTGATCAACAATGTCAAAATTATTTTTGTAATTTTTTCTTAATTTCTTTTCTTCTTTGAGGCATCAAACAGTTCAATGCTCCCTGACCGCTAAGGACTCAACAACAATTATCTTATGTCTATGTTCAAAAAGTAAAAATCTCTCTCTCTCTCTTACACACACACAAACACACACAATTTAAACAAACCAACAAAAAAACAAAATAAATCATCCACTTGCATTGTAACTGGCTTCTGTACATTTTGGAAATGTTGTTTATATTTTTAGGTAGGACGGTGGGGCAGAAATTGGATTAATTGTAATTCAGAAAAGGGTCCCATGTTCATCTTTCTTTTGCTTTGTTTTTGGGGGTTTTTTTGGGGGGGGGGGGGGGGGGGGTGCTAAATGTGGGTTGTCGTAAAAATTTGTGCTATCTGAATGTTAAGATATAATCTAACAATACTGTGTCAGAATAAAACGTAATTTTACATTATACATTAACAGAAATGCATACAGTCTTGAAAACTTTGGATTATTACAAAATCACAGAACTACAAAAAAACCTAGGAGTTTCTTTCAATTTTAAAAAAGTAATTTAGAGATATCGGTTGACCTGATCTATGAGGGAAGCAAACAGGAAATCATTTAATATATGACTGTTCTACTTTCAATCATTTGTGAAATCAACCATTTTTAAATATAGTGATGAGTATATATTCACTTACAGAGCTTTGTTGGAAGTTTTGACCACTGGCAGCAGCCTCAGAAAAGCCTCCTCTGAAACAGAGTATTTTGTCAGGTCAAACACATCCAGATCTTTTTCTGATGACAGTAAGATGAAGACCATAGCTGACCACTGAGCAGGAGACAGTTTATCTGTGGAGAGACTTCCTGAACTCAGGAACTGTTGGATCTCCTTCACTAGCGAATAATCGTTCAGTTCATTCAGACAGTGGAACAGATTGATGCTTTTCTCTGCAGACAGATTCTCACTGAGCTTCTTCTTGATGTACTCGACTGTTTCGTGACTGGTCTGTGAGATACTTCCTGTCTGTGTCAGCAGACCTCGTAGGAGAGCCTGATTGGTCTGCAATGAAAGACCCAGAAGGAAACGGAGGAACAAGTCCAGGTGTCCATTTGGGCTCTGTAAGGCCTTGTTCACAGCACTCTGGTGGAGATACTTTATACTACTTTTCTTTTTAAAAAAGAAAGACTTCTGGGAGGTTGGTTGTTGTTTTTCCAGCAGATTGACTCCAGAGTTGATGAAGGTCAGATGGACATGAAGAGCAGCCAGAAACTCCTGAACACTCAGATGGATGAAGCAGAACACCTTGTCCTGGTACAGTCCTCTCTTCTCTTTAAAGATCTGTGTGAACACTCCTGAGTACACTGAGACTGCTCTGATATCGATGTCACACTCTGTCAGGTCTGATTCATAGAAGATCAGGTTTCCTTTCTGCAGCTGATCAAAAGCCAGTTTTCCCAGAGACTTAATCATCTTCCTGCTCTCTGGACTCCAGTGTGGATCTGTCTCAGCTCCTCCATCATACTTGACCTTCGTCACTTTGGCCTGAACCACCAGGAAGTGGATGTACATCTCAGTCAGGGTCTTGGGTAGCTGTCCTCCCTCTCTGGTTTTCAGCACATCCTCCAGAACTGTAGCTGTGATCCAGCAGAAGACTGGGATGTGGCACATGATGTGGAGGCTTCGTGAAATCTTGATGTGGGAGATGATCCTGCTGGCCTGCTCCTTATCTCTGAATCTCTTCATGAAGTACTCCTCCTTCTGTGGGTCAGTGAACCCTCTGACCTCTGTCACCATGTCAACACAGTCAGGAGGGATCTGACTGGCTGCTGCAGGCCGTGTGGTTATCCAGAGGTGAGCAGAGGGAAGCAGTTTCCCCCTGATGAGGTTGGTCAGTAGCACATCCACTGAGGTGGACTTTCTAGGGTCAGTTAGGATTTCAGTTTTGTGGAAGTCCAGAGGAAGTTGACACTCATCTAGACCATCAAAAATGAACACAACCTGGAAGTCTTCAAAGCTGCAGATTCCTGCTTCTTTGGTTTCAGTAAAGAAGTGATGAACAAGTTCCACCAGGCTGAACTTTTTCTCTTTTAGTATATTCATTTCCCTGAAAGGGAATGGAAATATGAACTGGATGTCCTGGTCGGCTTTGTCTTCAGCCCAGTCGAGGGTGTATTTCTTTGTTAAGACTGTTTTCCCAATGCCAGCCACTCCCTTTGTCAGCACTGTTCTGATTGGTTCATCTCTTCCAGGTTGGGCTTTAAAGATGTCTTCTTGTCTGATTGTTGTTTCTGGTCTATCTGGTTTCCAGGATGCTGTTTCAGTCTTTCTGACCTCATGTTCATCATTGACCTCTGCAGTTCCTCCCTCTGTGATGTAGAGCTCTGTGTAGATCTGATTCAGAAGGGTTGGGTTTCCTTCTTTAGCGATCCCCTCAAACACACACTGGAACTTCTTCTTCAACTTCGTTTTAAGTTTACACTTACAAATTGCTGCAACATGTTCTGAAAACAATAAAAAAAAAAAAACAGAAAACAATGAAATGAAATGCATATGACTATTTGTGCCCCCTAAAATATGCATGTGTAATATTTTTGTTAACATTAATGAGACATTACTAAATGTTCCATTCATCCAGCAGCTTAAATATCTAGAGAAATTGTCTTACTGCTCTGCAGACGGTCGGCCAGCTCCTCCTGCTTCAGTTTCCTTAGGAAGTGCAATGTGATCTTCACAAATGCTTCTCTGCTGCTCTGCTGCTCATCATCCTCACCCTTCAAAACCTCCTCATTCACAATCTTATTCTCTACGCATTCTGGGTAATCTGGACTCAGAACCTTCTGGATCTTCTTCAGCTCATTCTTTACAAAAAGGATGATATTGTCCTCCAGCAGCTGGAACAGAATACTTTATGAATGACCCAGTCAGACTGAAATCATGCAGCCAAACATCAGATCCATGTTGGACAATCCACTGGTCGAACAAAGAGCAGCATGGAGATGACTGTGAACAGATGACTGGACTTTCTCATTGGTAACTTTATACATTTGTGTCACGTCTTAATTGACTGTTCAGCTGTTCTCAGTAGGATGATGCACCTCTTTTTTTTTGCTGCTAAATATGATACCATCACTCTCAACTTCCATCTACCTAACACCCACTCACTTAAGAGCAAGGGACATATCTTCTATGATCTCTTTACCAACTGTAAGCTAGACTTTCTCTGGTCAACTGAGACTTAGCAATGCCCAATGACTTGTCTCAGTTGAATTAATCCACTCCTCCTGGGTTTGTTAACATCTTTCAATCCTGTAGTACTGGCCGGGGACTAGTACTGGCTCATCTATCATGAGAGGTGAAAAGTCATACTAGTCTCTGCTCCTGTGTCAGTTCTTTTGAATCTACTGTGTGTTAAATGTCTGTTCCTACTCCTAGCATTATTTCAACTGTCTACCATTTCCCTAAACTCAACAATCAGTTCCCAAATGATTTTGCTGCCTGCCTCACATCTATCACAGTATTAATAACTCTCTCATCAGAGATTTTGTATCTTACCTTGAGAGTTTGGATTTCAGCAGCATATTGGTGTTGCTACTCAGTCTAAAGGAAACATTTGAAACCTGATTTGCTGTTCTGGTGTAACCCTGCTTACCTATGAAACTCTCTTTATTAACAATTCTCTATTAATAATTCTCTCTCCAGTAGCATTGACTCTTTCATAGACATTCAGAGTTTATTCACCATTGAAGAACTGATTTCACTCTACAACACTGAACTCCATGAAAAAGAAAAGATCTGTTTTCTCCTCTTTCTCTACCCCCTGAGTTTACACCTGAACTTTGACTATTACTGTCACAAACTTTAGAGGCTCTACAAAAGAACTGGACTTGTATAAAAATCATAAACGACATTATAAGGACAGCATCGCTCAAACTTGCCCAGTTACTATTGTCATATTATCTCTTCTAATGAAGGTAACACCAAGTCACTCTTTTCATTGCTTAACAACATCATCCAGTCTCCAAAAGATGATTCTGTTCATCTGGACGTAGCGTTTTGTGGGAGAAACATTTCGTCACTCATCCAAGTGACTTCTTCAGTCTCAGCTGACTGCAGGTTTCCCCAATCTTATAAATAGTACATTTGCATAATGACAATCTGCATGTCTTTGGACGGTGGGAGGAAGCTGGAGTACTGGAGGTATTTTATCATTCATTTCTTCTCCATGTACTATCTTTCATAAATACAACAACAATTTCCACTGACACACAAATGACATCCGGCTTAACAACAAATCTACCTTGCCTCCCTCCTCACTCACTGACTATATATCGAAAACAAAATCCTGGTTGTCTTCAGATTTATTCAAAATAAATAGCGACAAAACTAAGGTTCTCCTCATTAGTATAAAATCAACACGATCCAAAACAATTTTTCCTTAGTTAGTGACTGTTCCTCTGTCTCCCCCTCCTCACGGGTTAAGAGTCTGGGTGTCATTCTCGACAATACATTATACTTTCATTCATTGTATTTGCATCAATAATAATAATAATAATAATAATAATAATAACAACAACAATAATAATAATAATAATAATAAGTATTATTATTATTATGTAGATGTTTTGTTTAGTAGTAAAGTAGTTGTTGAACATGTGCAGACCATAAATATGGAGTCCAGTTGTGTTTCATGCTGCTGGGCAGACTGACCACAGGGAAACTCTGAGCTGTTCTGGCCCACTCTGTGGAAAAATCATGAAGAATTAGTCCAAGTACAGGATGCCGATCCACCACATCTTTGATTGCACCATTAATGCTAAATACGGGTTTATGAGCAGCATGCGCTCACAATCAGATTAGTTCGTTTTTCTCCTTTTCAGAGAAAACCTTTCATACATTCTTAAACCTGTTAGAAGACATACAGCATGAGTATTTTGAACTAAATGCAAGCGATGGAGTGTTGAATACCTAAACAGAGAGAATTGCAGCAGTCCAGTCTAGAGGTGATGAAGGCATGAATAATTTTCTTTTAGATTTTTAGGAGGAAGATAAGGCTTCGCTTTGGCAATTTCATGTAACTGACAAAAAAACTGTTTTTCACAACTGTGGACGCTTGCTTCTCTAATTTAAAAGAGCTATCTAAAAACACTCAGAGATTTCTTACAGTGTGGGAGTGATAACAAGCAAGAGGCCCAAGAGTATCCATTAACTTATCCAAAGGGGCATGACTTCATAAAACAATAACTTCGGTCTTATTTTCGTTTAGGGTGAGAAAATTCAGTCTTTAACATCATGTAGACAGTTAAGGAAAGGTGGCAGTGGGACAGAGACATCCAGTATCAAGGGGAAGTAAATTTGGATGTCATCAATATAACAGTGAAAGGCAATGTTGTATTTCTTGAAAATAGATCGCAAAGGCAGGATGTATAAGGAGAAGGGAGTTGGGCCCAAAACAGACCCATGTGGCACACCGCAACAAATAGGGGCGGAGGAAGAGGAGTATTCTTCAGTAGCAACAGAAAAGGACCTCTCTGATAGTTATAATTTAAACCCTGTTTAATACGGCTCCTTTAAGACCAACAATGTGTTGAAGTCTCGATAAAAGAATGTTATGTTCAGCTGGACTAGAACAACAGAAAATCAAACATGCCAGAACATGTTGAATAAAAAAAGTTAGCTAGCTCTTCAACCACTAGTTCCAAACTAAAGTTGTGTTGGGATTAAATAATTTGCAGTGCCTCAAAAATACTATGCTTTTTATTAATAATAAGTGTTATAAAGTTATAAAGTACAGTATTAAGTGGACACAGCCCTGAAAAATAAAGGCATGAAACCATGTGTGCTGCAAGAGTAGAAAGCTGCAGACTCTTGCTCACACTTGCTTGGGAAAATGTAGATAAGAGGGGACCATCTCTAGTGGAAGGTTACTGAGACACTGTTGTTTAGACTAGAATGAGAGAGCGTCTGGAATAAAACTGTTAGGGGCACAGCACCATTTTGAGATCCGTGGCAACGTGTCACGCAGGACGCATCTCCATTCTAGAAGTAATGTGAAAGAGAAATAAAGGGTTAAATGGTCTACTGAGCAGTGTTTTGTCTTCCATCGGATGCCTCTGAGGAACCAAAAGAACTCAGTGAAGTGTTGATATTTACAGTTGGCATCATACATCATACAGATAGTAAAAGCAGAGAATAGTGAGCAGCGGTCAATGAATTTATCATGCATAACTGACGCACAGGTCCCTCACTGTTCAACTCCACATTACACACTGCGATATTAAACATCACTGGGAAATGATCTGATATCCCACAGTCCTTGATTTCTGTAATACAAACATCCAGACTGTTTGACAGCACCTGAACAAGTGTGTGGCATTTCATGAGTTGGATCACACCCACTGAGTAAGATTAAAGTGTCCATAAGGGGAAGGAAGTCCTTTACTAGTGGTCTAGTCTCACAGCGTACATGGATGTTAAACTCAACAACAATTAAAACACGGTCATATCCTAGCATAAGATTCCCTAGTAAGTCTGCAACATCAAGATTAAAATCCTTAATGCATTTTGGTGGACGATACACCACAGCTCAGAGGACTGAGGGAGTGGAGTTCAGTTCCAAAAACTGCACCTCAAAGCTGGGGTAGAAAAAAAGTGGCAGTTGCCGACAGCGAAATTTGTTTTTAAACACCAAAGCTAGCCCTCCATCTCTACCAGTGATCCGGGAAGTTCCGAGAAGGAAGAAAACTCACTGGGTCGAAGCCAAGTTTCCGTCAGGAATATAAAATCCAGTCCTGATGAGATTAAAAGAGAAAAAAAAAAAGTCATTTCAGATAAAAGTCTTGTTTGCCAACAACATATATCCAACAACATCAAGCAGTTAAATCAGCTCTCAAAGACTTCATGTTACTAACAGCTCACCTCTCTGCAGCAGATGCCTGCTGGACTTTAAAATTAATGAAACGTTCATTAGAGTCGTCAGTCTTTAAGGACACACAGCTGGGTGGAGGTTCAGGCTGGTTCCTGTGAATAATGATGAAGCAGTGATGTGAGTGCTGAGCTGTGACATGGAGAAGAGTCATGGACAGTTAGAGATGGTCATCTCACCTCTGAGCTTTGGTCTGGCTGTCATCTTCCCCACACAGAGTGGTTTTAGAGGGAGGGACTCCCTCCTCTCTGTCCTCACACGGATCCATGCTGCCGAATTCACATCCACGTCAGCTCACACAAACCTTCTACCTTCACCTGCAGAGGAAACACCAATCATTCATGTGCACATCAACTGAAATACTATTAATGCTATTGTATAAGTTTAGCGTGACTTGTTTTTTCTTGTCTTTTCTCATTTTCACAAAACACAAGAGATGTAACATTTCTTTTAGTTGCCGATGTTCCTGATGTTGGTCTTGCCGTGCCTTGGTCCTCTAAACTACTGAAGTGATGCACTGTACAGTAGTAAGTAACATAAATATAAATGTAACATAAAAAGTTACAAATATTTTACTAAATGTTGTAAAAAATGACTCGAAAAAACATGTTTTTGTAAGGTTTTGAGCTAAATGTGGAAAGATGTTGATGTTAATTTCAGCACGTTTCCCTTTACAAACGGCGCCCCATAGTGTAGCCTTAATGTGGTCAGACTTTTTAATTGGTTGCTCCTAAATACACTTTTATTGTAGCTGTTTTACTTGCAAATGTGTGTGAAATGCTCACGTTTACATCATTTAACACATGGGCACACAGTAATCAAATTACTCAATGATTCGGTCCAGCACTATAATAGATATAGAATGACTAAAAACAGAAAGGAAGCTGTTTATCAAGAACCCAAAAACACAAGAACAGCTTTAACAGATGAGTCAGCTATCTGGGCTACGATGATGTTAAATCATTTTTTATTGCACAGAAGATTAGAGATGATCTGCCAACACAGTCTCATTCCTAACTCATCAGAGAACCTCTGTGATCACATTTTGGACACATCTGGAACCGACAGCAAACCAATTCTTTACAATTTGTTTTACATTGCTCGCATTTATCACTGTGATCACAAACTACAAAAGGTAACTGTTGAGGAAATTTTAAATAAACTGCAAACACCCGGTAAGCATCTTTTTGAAGCAGAGTTTATTATACACACTGCATGTGGAGAGAGGGCTCTGGTCACAAACCAGAATGGTCTCTAAAGATGGGTGCTGCCTTACATATGACCCGGCCAAACTCATGGACAAAGGAAACTCCTCAGCACATCACGTAGCTCTATACCTCCCAGTTCAGCTCATCCTCGAACCCTTCCCTCCAAAGGAGAATTACGACCAACCGGCACCTCCCTTATGCGGTGCCTATATGCCTGTAACCCACATACAATGACCCCACTGTGAAGGTGTGATAAACATAAGGCCCACTTGAGATAACATCCTACATGCATATAACTATGTGACAAAGTGATACTATTATTACCAATGTAAAATACATATTACTACATAGAATAAAGAAATCTTCCATCACAAAACTATTTCCACATCAGCTACACCAACAGAGAGCTGACAGACAGATAGTCCAAGAGGATTTAATGATACCATCAAAATTATTAGTTTAGCCTTTAGTTATAGAACATAATTCACATGCAGACATCACAATTATAGAATTTAATAAATCCAGAGCTACAAACGTAGAGAAATGTTTTTTTTAAAAACCTTAAAGTTATGAAATATTACAGTGATCTATAAATACAGTCAGGTCAGTTCAGCTCCATTAGTTTCTGTGACGCCAAAATTATCAGCTGTTAGCAGAGGAATGTTTTTAACTGTACACTTCCTCATGCCTGAGTGTGTCACGCTACATGTGGGTCTGAGTGTGAACATTAACTTGGTTATTACAACTTTATTCTTCTCTGTTCTTTCTGTTTTTAAATACGTGCTTCTGTTTTTCATCAACAAATAGGAGTCCTTGTTAAAGTGGTTCAGATCTTCACACCTGAACATTTCGCTGAGTTTTTTATACATACACCGGATCCCAAATTATTATACAAATTGTGTTTATTTAAGTTTCATAAAGATTAAATAAGTTGTTTTTCAATTCAACTCAAGGATGGAATTGTGGTGTTAGAAACAGTTGGAAGTCACGCACACAAAGAGACACACATTCTGTGGCCACACACACACACACACACACACACACACACACACACACACACACACACACACACACACACATTCTCACATGCATACACACTGTGGTGGTGGTGATCTTTGGATCACTGAAATCAAATCACAATGATGAAGGTTTCTGCCGGGCAAATACATCAGATCAAGAGAGCAGCTGCTAAAAGGCCATTAAAAAGCAGCAAACACATATTTTAAGTTGCAGGTGCCTCTGCAGCCCCGCAAACGTCAAGCTGTAGGATCCTCCAGAGACTTGCAGTTGTGCATAAACCTTCTATTCGGCCACCCCTAACCAATGCTCACAAGCAGAAATGGTTGTAGTTCTGGGCCCCAGAACTACATGAAGACTAATTTTCAAACAGTCCTCTTCACTGATGAGTGCCGTGCAACCCTGGATGGTCCAGATGGATGCAGTGGTGGATGCAGTGGTGGGTGGTTGGTGGACGGCCATGATGTCCCAACAAGGCTGCGTCGTCAGCAGGGAGATGGTGGAGTCATGCTTTGGGCCGGAATCACGGGAAAAGTGCTGATCGGCCCCTTTAGGGTCCCTGAAAGTGTGAAAATGACCTCTGCAAAGTATGACTGACCACTTTCTTCAATGGTACAAAAAGAAAAACAGTGCTGTCCGCAACAAAATCATCTTCATGCAAAACGATGCACCATCTCAAGCTGCAAGGAATACCTCTGCATCATTGGCTGCTATCGGCACAAAAGGAGAGAAACTCATGGTGTGGCCCCCATTCTCCCCTAACCTCAATCCTATTGAGAACCTTTGGAGCATTCAAGCAAGCAAAACAGGTGGGAGGCAGTTCACATCCAAACAGCAGCTCTGGGAGGCTATTCTATTCGAAAATTATGTTGACTGTCATTTGAATCACTATTTAGGAAAATCAGAGAAAAATACCATTTGCATAATAATTTGGAATGCAGTGTAAAGACTAATAATCAGTACTGATTAGTTTTTATTTTTTGTTTATTTGTGCTTCTGATTGCATTTCCTATTGTGATTGAATGCAACAGTCACGGTTTGCCGGGGCAAGCCGTGTGGAGTTGTAGAAAAGGACCCAAAAGGCGGCAGCTCTGGTGCAGGTGAATATTTATTTGTAAAGGTGGGTACAAAACAGCACTGGTGGGAAAACAAGAAACCGGAAACCTAAACTGGGTAAACTAACAACACAAACCAGAAACGAAGATGCAGGGAGATCCGGGGAAACAATACAGAGAGGCGCAGGGAGACCGAGGGGAAACAACACAGACGAACCAGCAACTACTAAGACAGAAAACACAACTTAAATACACTCAGGGAACACAGGGAGATTACACACAGATGGAGAACACAGCTGGGAGTGATTACGTGACGAGACTAGGGAGACAAACTGAAAACACTCACATAAGACGCAGACCTTCACAATAAAACAGGAAACACATACACGCAATGACATAACACACCAACTTAACACAGACTGGGGGACACAGAACATAGGAACATGAACCATGAAACAGAAGAGTACAAACACCCAAGGTAACCAAAACCACAGAATACTAAAAAACGAAACATAAACACGGAGTCGCAGACTCCGGACCATGACTGCAACATAGATCTTAACCTTTACATAAAGGACTCAACTGACTCAAATAACATCAAGTGAGCCTTTGAAAACTGTTCAAAAGGAAGAAATGTAAAAGCATTTTACAAAAAATCTGAAGACGTGGGACGTCAAAATGGAGAGAAAGGCAAGAGACCACACCTTGTCCAACTATCATTGATTAAAAGCTTAAAATGCTAAACAAGAAAACTCAGACTCAAATCCACTGATTCATCCAAAAAGAGAAAGTACAAAGTAAACTCGACAGCGACACAAAGACATGGAAAAGTTGCCAAATACTTTTCTGCACATCATGCATGATGTAAGTCACATCGCTCTTGAATTTTCTTCTGTTGTTCATGTTTTTACTGAAACATTCTGCTTCTTTACTTCATCTTGTTTCAACAATAAAACCAGTACAAATTCAGTAAAACCTGAACGTCCACTTCTCAGCAACAAACTAATTTGTCTAATGGATGTGAAGTTTCATACAGATCCATTTAAACTGTTGTTCACAGTAACAAATGTTTCAGTGTAGAGTTACTGATAACCAGTGTCTTAAAAAAAGAGTGATCAAAGTTTGTCCTGAAGTAAGAGCTGAACATCTGGTTCAAACATCACAGAGCAGAAACAAACAGTCAAACTGTTAAAGGAGGAGACAAAAAAAACTTACAGTTTCTTCACACAGAGACACGAACAACAAGCTCCACACCTGGACATTAAACAGGGACACACAGGTGAGCTGCTTACAGGAAGGAGGTGGGACTCCACCTGAAGCAGGACAGGTGGGAGGGGCTAAGCTCTGTGTGTGTTGATGCTGTAACATTTAAAAATATGTTGTCTGACTGCTCAGACTAAATCTAGTCAGAGTAAAGTTCGCATGCTGACGTGTGAGTACACGAAACCTTGTTGAAGCTGCAGGTGTGAACACACTAATCACAGATAGTCTCTAAAACACTGTTTACTTTGCTTGGAATATAAAAGCTTCAAATGTTCAGCATGTTTCTCTGGATTACTTAATATATTATCATGCTTTTTACAACTACACGAATGTACTATTGCTGTGTGATTTATTACTGTTACTGAAGGTCCCGTATAGTAAAGGGACCGCTGACTAATACGGCGGGGTCCCTGTCAGCTCGTAGCCAAAAAATAGCTTTACTTTGTTGTGTGGGTCAACTTTTCTTGCGAGAGACAGAGAGAGGCGTTGAAAGACTGCTCCAACGGAACTTATTGTTTTCGGAGGAAAACACGAACACGG